TCAGAGGGAGACTTAAGAAGGCCTTTCATCCATTATAGAGAAATGCCCCGACCTCAAGTGAGGGCACAACAATCATAAAAGCGAAACAACAATCATAATAAATGTGGGAAATCCTTTGGCTGCAGCGCCAGTTTCGAGTTGAATTGAAAATGGAGGCTTTTGCGGTTTCGGATGAGGTGGTTATTCCCCGTTTCGCTGTGTTTGTTGGATTGCCGCAGTGGGCTCCCTGGGGGGAGGGGGCAGAACCTCAGTCCTTGGGGTCAAGTGAAAAAAGGGTTTTCCAACGGGGGGATATTAAAGGGCAATTCCAAACCATTAGCTAATGAACAGTCCAGAAACATGGAACACCGACAGACGGAAACAAAACAGTGAGACATCGGCTGGCTTTTTATGACTGAAAACAGAGGGAGAGAACGTTGCCACCTTTGTGGTGGCATTTAATTAATAAAAAACAAAGAATAAATTCAAGAAAAAACCAAAGGCAAAGAAAGGAAAACCAAGGAAACGGCTCGTGCTTGCTCCATTGAACAATGTGGGGTCAAGCGGCAGCTTCTACGGCTCCTCCTCCTGGTCAACTGGGAATGCATTCCAATTTAACATCTCCGCTCCACCATAAATTTCCTGCTGCCCCGCAGGCCCCGGGCATGCCTCTTTCGCTGAGTTAATCAAGGCTTCGGTAATTTGGCGGAGAGTGTGAAGTGTTTGCCCGGATACCCAATGGAGTGTATTATATGCCCTGGCCACCGCAGCAGCATCAGCAGCAGGAGCAGCAGGAGCGGCTCCTGTGTTCGAGCACTTCATCAATGCCCGGCATCTTTTGTGAGCAAGGTTGAGCCTCAGCCTCACCCCCACCATGCCATTCCACTCCCCTCGATGCGGCTCCCGTTAAGTGTTTTACAGGGCTCTCCACAAAGCGCACATCATTCATGTCCGAGGCAGGATGTTATATTTGCCCAAGGCCGAAACGACCCGAAGCCTTCCTGCCTTCATCTCTTTTCTGGCCCAGCCCAGCCCCGCCACTATCCAGCCACGTACACATCAATGGAAATGGGGAAAGGGAAGTGGTAGAGGGAGGGAGAGTACCTATGTGTGGCTGTCTGTCAGACAGCTTTGGCTGTGGCAGGCTCTCATTGCATATGAATCAAGTAAAGGTAATTGAAAATCAAAGCCACTGAATTTTGAAGCAGGCCAAGACTATGCCTGCTCTATGGTATGTTCGAATCTGTTCTGTTAGGGACTGGACCTTACTCTTCTGGTCGTGCGGTACGGCTGAGTGGCAATTGTAGAGAAATCAAGTCAGAAGCGGGTCGGAGTATTGCGGCATTTCGATTGGCAACTTTCAACTCTAAAGTGGCAATCAATGCGTACTCCCGTGCTCACCGAGTGGCCTGACTGTTTTCGATAACTTTGATTACTCCCAAGTGGTCTCACCATGCCCAAACTTCACCCATCCTGAAGGGCTTAGTATGGTCACTAAGCTTGGTTCTGGGCCAGGTCAAATTAGCAGACACGCCACCCAGAGCGTGTGAGTATCTGTCGTGGTGGTGGTGTTGTGCTCTGTGTCACAGAGATAACCGTTGAGGAGAGAGCAGAGTGTCGGTGCGAGTGCATGTGTCACGTGTCAAGACTGCTTCTAAAACCAGGTGACTGTGCAACTGGGCCGTGGCTCCCATTGCGCCAGCAATCCGCACACATTCCGTGCGCACTGTGACACTTAACAGACAATTAAGTTGCTGACCCCCAAAACAACATGAAAAGGGCCGTGTGGGCCATGTGTGCCATGTGTGCCGTGTGTGCCGTGGCAGATGACAGTCGGGTTGCAATTTCTACACTTTTCCCCGCCACGTTTTCGTCGCTGCTACTGCTGCTGGTGGTGGTTTGGGGTATTTTTCATAATTAATCCAACAACTGCCGGGGGCATTTCCGAGAGCTTTTGCCACCCGCTTGTTGCGGTGTGTGTGGCTGCTGGGAAAGCATTTTTCGCCCTTTTCCAAGACAATTTGCGAAATTGCAGTACTGCCGCCTGCCGCCTGCCTGCCGTGCCTTGTTTTTTGTGTTCTTTCATTTCTTTTCGTTCCCCTTCCTCCCCGCACCTCGTGGCTTTTGTTTTCCGTCTTGCACTCCCACTTCCACCCTGTGCCTTGAGGTTGCACGAAAGCAAAAAGCAGAGCGCAGGCTAGAAACGGCCGAGCGTTTGCAATTGCATCAAAAATCTCCATCGCTTTGCCAAAACGGAAATGCAGCTTGGACTTTCACGGAACGAAACAAAAAAAAAAAGCGTTCTCCGGAGCGCATTCTCGTTTTCAATTTGCCTTGGAAAACTCCACCCAAACTTTCACAAGTGCCATAGGATTCTCCCAGGGAGCGCAGTCAGTGCTTTCCAATTTGGACAATTTGTCGGCGAAGTTGAACGCTGGAATCGCTTGTGGTGGGACGAGCATGCCTCTGGGCCACTTGCCTAATCCGCTTTGCCATGTCTGGGGCGCTGGATGTCAAATTTGCAGCCAACTTCGCCAACCTCCTTTTGGCCATAAAAAAAGTTTGGCGAGGCGCGGCATGTTCTGTGGCAAGTAGCGCCATTGTAAGGAAACTTTAATCCCGCTTAAATTATAAATGGCACATTTGGCTTTTCCCGCGCCTCAACTCGATGTGCCCTCTGCCTCTGCCCTAGACTATGCCTATGCCTATTCCTAGGAATGGGCCCCATGTCAGGGGCCGCGCTCGAGTGCTCTGACAAACTTTATGTGTGTTGTCACAATCTTCTGCTCCGCGCTGGCAGCGGCAGGAGCAGCGACAGAAGCTACGAGTTGGTATGGAGACAAGCAGTGGATGGTCTTGATGCCGTTGCCAGGGCACAGCAACGGCAACGACAACGGCAACACACAAAACACTTTGTATCCTTTTATTTGGCGAGTGGAATGCACTGCACTAAAGCCAAAGTTTACGGCTCGCATTTAGTTGCTTCGTCGGCGGGCGGTTGGGTGGTTGGGTGGTTGGGCGGTTGGGTGGGCGGCCCCAAAGCGGAAACTTCTAAGCCCAAAACACGAGCTGAACTGAACCGAACCGAACCGAGCGGAACCCAGCTAAAGTGAACCGACTTTAGAGTCAGTCTCAGGCATAAAATTGTGTCCTCCTCCGTTTCCGAGATGACGAGGCTGCCGTCATGTTTGCTCCGCTCCCATTCGCATGTTGAATTATGATTTTCTGCCTGGTCTGGCAAAGCGTCCAGGGTGTGCCTGTCTCCGGGCAACAGCCGGAGGCTCTGCGCCGGCGACTCCAAGCCAAATTTGCTGGGGATGCCAGGAAATCAATTAAAACTTTCTATCATATCGCCAGTGCAGCAGTGGCCACTCGGTGATAGATGGAGTGGGGACTTGGGGGACTTGGGGGGCCTGGCCACGTCATACCAATGTCATCGCTTGTTGAACATCTGAGGTAGATGGTAAATGAACTGATGTATGTACATGCATATTTGTGTGTACATATTATAATGCAGAATTAATGCCTCAGCGTTGGCATGCAGGGAAATCAAATTACACATCTGAATGCGTCCTTAGGCTGGGGTTAAGTGGCCACAAAGCACGGCTGAGCAAGGCTCACTCTGCGATTATTATTCCTATGTTAATATACACTCTCGGTAGTTTCGGGGTAGCCGCACACTTTGCGGCTCGTCCATGCATTACGTACTCGAAGAAATCGCCTTGGGCGCGAGTTTATTACATTTCCCAGCTTGACCAAAATGAAGCCGTCGGGTCTGGGGCTTACTTTTTTGTTACCGCATTGGCTGTAGCCTCGTAAAACATTTTGCAAGCCCTACTAGCCGGGCAGCCGCTAGCGAAAATTTTAATTAGAGTGCGCCACGCAAACATGGTGCAAAGCATATCCTCGCCCAACGCCTAACGCCTATCGCCCCCTCCGAATGCCTCGTCCTGGTGGCACCCGCGATCGACCAAAAGCAAGCGATACTTTGGGGTTTCCGTTTCGCACACAATGTTTATGTATGTTTGTCATACATAGAAAGAAGTCCCTGGTGCAAATGGGGCCCCATAGCGTTTTGCTGGGAATGGGGCACCGGGGATAAAGAGGTAGCGAGAGAGTAACGCCAACAGTAACAGTTCCAGTACCAAAAACAGCCCGAGGGAGCGGTGTTGGCAGAGAACATTGCATCCAAAGTAAACAAGCGTGCATATTTTTGTGTTGTGTTTTTTGGGGGGTTGTGTGGCCACCAGAACATCCACCTTGGCCAAGCTTCCTCCAGCAGCCAACGCTCCGCTTTCCAATTCCAATTCCAATTCCTTTTCCTTTCGTTTTTGTGCGGTTCGAGAATGTTGCCGAAAACTTGAATGTAAATTTGCTTTAGCTTTTGCTTAAAGCCAGCGCACATCTCAATACAATGAAAACCGCACAGCACCGCAGCGCCCTTTTGCTTCTGCTTTTCCTTTTCCGCTCACAGATCGATTCTGGGCGACTCCCAGAGCACAATGGAAGTCGCTTTGAAAAAACAATTCCCAGCTAATTGAAACGAGAGAACGAAGCAAGTATAGAGAATCTTTCATTTTGGAATCTTCTGGCTGCTAGATGAAGACATTCTCTGCTCGCCAGCAGCGCATCAAGGAATCAAATTTAAGCTGAGTATTTACTCGACCAGAATAATGACTAAATGTTTTTCCAGCCACAAGACAGTACAGGAGCAGGAGATGTCTTCCTGCTCTGCTCTGCTACTAATCACAGCCCAAACTCTTGCCTTAACTTGCCCTGACGAAAGTAATTACGTTAGTATGCATTTTAAATTATAACGGAAATGCTGATGAAGATGTTTAAACATCGGCTTGCATTTGGCAATCTCTGAATGCTGTTCCCAGTATTTCGGATCTGAGATGGAGGGACGAGGCGAGCGCGGAGGATTGCGCAGAATCAGCATCCACAGGCTGTCTGTGTCCGTGCCGTTTGGGTGTCCTCTGTGCCGAGTCTTTGGGCTCGCATCAGTTGCGCGCTGGGGGCTCCACGGAACGGTTCATCACTCGGAAAATGCGGTTTAACTTCGAGTTTTTGTTCTAGCACAGAGTAGTGCCACGACCACGGCCACGAGCACATCCATAGCCATAGCCATAGCCATAGCCAGAGCCAGAGCCACCTTCAGGTGTTTGGCGCCAAGCTGCCCATTTCGTTTTGTGGCAGAGAGACAAATTGTTTATCTTGTGTCAAGTGCTGGGGTAGACATTTCCACATCCGCACCCACACGCTCGGAGGGAGCGCAACCCATTCCAGTTCTGCCCAGGAGCCAGCCAGGCAGTCAGTCAGTCAGGCAGTGAAAGTTTGTGTCGCCATCTCTCTGTTGGCTGGCTGTTGTGGGTGCCGTCTGTGGAGTACTTAACAAAAAACAGTAAACCTGCTCCTGCTCCCGCTTCTACTCCGGATCGTTGTGGTGCCATCGCTGTTGCCGCTGTTGCCACTGCTCCACGCGTGCGGTTGGGAGAGTCGAAATCGGATGACATTATCTTTCAGTGGGCTGCGGGCCGCAGGACTTTTGTGGTGGATCCCCGTGGGGATGGTGTTGGTGGTTGCGCTGCCTCAGCCACAGCGACAGCAGAGACTGTCTCTGCCACTGCCTCTGCAGCATTGTTTTTGTTTGCGAGACCAAAATTAAAAGCGAAACGAGTCCTCGCACCTTAGGCATGCATCTTTAATCAGCACCGATGAATTTCCATTCCACTCCGTGCCACCGTGGATATCCGTGCGAAATGGTTACGGCGTATGAATAAGCAATGAAATAAGCGCTCCCAGGCATTTGTCATTTGGCAAAGTGAAATTTGAAGTGACTGTGAAAATTAAGACAAATGCGTGCTCCTCCTCCTCCCCAGGATTACTTTGCCCATTAAACCAAACTCAGACGAGAATCTAGCCCGCAGGCGATCCCACGAAGCTCGCTCGAATCCCAGCTAAATTTGGACTTAACTAGGTAAATATTGAATTTCTGATATATATACGTAGAGCCAGAACCAGACCAGCGGAGTGGGAACACACACTGTTTCACACCTGTTACAACTTAATTACGGCTCAGAAGAACTAAATGAATTATTCACCCGGAATGTGCGAGTGGGGGGGGGGGGAGTATTTACCAAGGCACAAGCAGTGGCACAACTGCGAGTGCGAGTATGTAGAGACAGTCAGCCAGCAGGCAAAATATGTCCAAACTCTCGGACCAACTGGCTAATTCCCTCATGGCCATGGATGAGTGAGAAGTAAGGAAGGTGGGTGGGTGGGTGTTTGTCGGGGGACTGGTCATCTAAACAAGAATGAATGAATGTAATTGCTTTTGATTTATCTCACTCACACAGCGGAAATAGAGTGGAAAGCCATTTATTCGGTGATTTCCGCCAAGACCTAACCAAATAAAACTTATTTAGATAAATTATTACCCAGATGATTATTGATGAAGACTAATTTGTTATGTCGGTGCGATGAGTGGGGATGGGGAGGAATGCAAGTGGAAGTGGAAACCGTTCTAATGACCCAGAAGCCATCCCTGAATTTGAACCTGAACCTCAGCGTCAACCTCAACCTTTTCTGCCCCCCAAAACAGTTAGGAGTGAGGAATTTCAAATCATAAATTTATTTATGAACGAAGAATGCCTGCGAGAAAGACCCTTTGGCACCGACTGACTGCCTTTTTGTTTGTGTGTTTTTTGCTACGACTTATTTGGGAATAAAGGGAAAAGTTTTACTTTTTGTGGGTGAATTATACATTTGTATGCAGGAACAGGAGCATTTGGTTTCTTTGTGCAGCACACGTTAGCATCGTTGTGTTTGTTTGCTAGAAAAGGCGCTTAAAAACGACAAAGGCAGTGAGTCCAGTCGGTTAGACCGCATATGAATGTTTGTAGCAGCGGGCATGATGATCATATTTCTCGAAGGATAACGAGCGAGCCAAGAACATAACTCTAACATATACCCCATCCACCTCTTGCTTTTGCAAATGCATCCCCGCCTGTGGTCCAATCACTCGCTCTGTGTTTCGGGTTAGGGGAGAAAGCATTGAAATAAAATGAAATGAACTTTATTTTATCAGGTGATATTCTTTGGTTCGTTATCTAAATATTAAATTCGTGAGCAAAACTCATAAATACAAGCGACAGTTCACTGCCGAAACGAATAATTATGAAATAAATTTCAAATTTAATCTGCTGCGTCACCAGCTCATAATTCAGGTGATTGCCTAAGCATGAATAAATAAAATGTAGTCAGCTTTAGGCAAAAGTTTAGTCCTCACATCTAGCAAAAATACTTTGCGTTAAGTAAACATTCCGCCACTTGATTAAATATATTAGATAAAGTTATTCGAGGCTCTCGAATTCCGCATCCTATCTTTCTACTTTCCTTTTGGTTTATCTTAGCTCTCTCTCTCTCTCTCTCGCTTTTCCCACTCTTTCATTTATAAATACATTTTTTATACTCCTTTATAAACTCGTTAAAAATGTTTTCTCCATTATTTTTTCAAATTAATTGGCCAACGTTTGTGAAACAATTTCCGGTCAGGAATTTCACTTGGACTTAGGAGGCAAGCTCGTGGAGGCGGGTTGAATGGTGCATATTGGTTATTGAGTCTGCTCCTATTTCTGCTGGCTCTGGGCACATCAAAAGCATTTTCAATATTTCAATTGTATATACGTATTCCTTATTGAACAGTTGTTTAAATAAATTCACAGCAAATAAACAGAGCAAAGAGCAAATCTAGGAATCATTGGAGAGTCTGTACTCTAGTGCTAGCCTCTGGCTCTGGCTCTGACTCTGGCTCTGCCACTGCCAGTACCACTGCCTATGCCTCTGCCCATGCCTCTTTGCTGTTCCGAATGTGGCATGCATCGGGTGGTCGAAATTTATGGAATTTTAAATGTTGACACAATGCCCAAATAATTTAAATGTTGTGCGAATCTGCTGAAATATGTTATACATTCATTTGCATGCAGATCAGAGGGTAGGTGTAGCTGTGTGAGATGCTGGGTGAGCCCTTCAGCTTTTAGATGGATTTGACACGTAGCTGGGAAAATGCAGATACAAAATTCAAGTGGGCCCATTTAACAGGCTGCGCTGCTCATCCCAGCATCTCGTCTGCAGGTGTGGAGTGGAGAGTGCAAAATATAGAGTTTCCGTTCACACATGCTGGTCCGTTTTTACATAGCGTATTTACATACAAATGTACATATGAATGTATGCATGTATCTGTATCTGTGTGCTTGTGTGTAGGTATTTGCATTTTCATGCGAGTTTTTTATTTCGTTTGGATTTCTGATGTTGCTGCTGTTGCCGTCGACTGTGACTGCAATATTCGCCTGAATAAATTTAATCAGGTGAGCGTGGCTCTGCATACCAAAAGACAGGGAGAGCATGTGCCTTATAGGACTTTAAATCAAATGCTACTTGCCATAAATAGAATATTGGAAACATTACTCGTACCTATTATACGGTCTGCAATTTATAGCGGACAATAGGCGAGAGAAGCCGGATAATGCCACTAGATAATGCCGTTAATTTGGATTACAATTTGTTGTCATTCATGAAATGATGCCACCCAATCACGGCCATCGCCCGAGTCCCCATCATTGTACTAAAATATCTTTATCCCTTTATAATGTCTGTCCCAGTTTTCAAAATGTCCCCGGGTTTATTTCCCCACTCTTCGTGACCGTGCCCTTTCCCATCGCTGTCGCCCGACTCGGTCGTCGGCTGCTTCATGTTCGTTCATGTCTTCTTTATCTAAATCATCCAACTGTGTAAATATTTGCCTCGCTTCCTGCATTCCATCCTCGTTATCCTTAAATCGTGCGTGCGAAGCTGTACAAAGGCATCGCCCAAGCGGTAGCAAAGCTGAGGTACTGAGAAAGACAGAGAGAGAAAGTGGGAGCACTATGCGAGATGAGCGAGTGCAGGGATGCGAAGACGTCGCGACGGATGGGAGAGTGGGTCTGGAATGAATAAAGTAAACCAACCCAACCAAGCGACCCACCGATCCACCGGCCGACCGACCTACTCTACTCTACAGTGGGTTAAATTTTGCATAAGAAAGGCAAGGCGGCCGCGACTTACATTGCACAGTGGGTCTGGATACAATTACTATTTAATGTTCTTGAAATGTAATAGCTTCTAAGTACATATTTATTTGAAAATTTCCTTTGTGCTTTTTAACGGCGTATCGTAAAATATATAATCCGACAACTGGCATCCGTCCCACTGTACGTAATTCCAACGGTAAACAATAATCGTAGCATTAATCTGAAACTGCGCACAAATCCGTCAAACTCAGCAGCGACAATGTAGGGGAGTGGTACGAAACGACAGAAGCAGCAGAAAGAGGATGAAAAAGAAGCAACCAAAGCAAAAGCAAAAGTAAAAGCAAAAACAAACATTGGCGCAGATTTGGAGGCGCTTGAGTCGTCATTAATTTTAAGAACTTTTGCCCCTTTCGGCAGTAAGTCTCACCCCCGTGCAGTGCCCTCCTGATGCTTGCAGTTCTCAAGCTTTCATCAATTTTCCAGGTAGTTCCTCCAGCCCACCGAGGTTGCCAAACAAATATTTCAAATCATCCTAAAGGTAATTAAGCAGCATGACTGAGAATTTTATGGCACTGAAAATTATAATTTTATGTTTTATGGATTAACAATTTAGATTCTCGATTGGAGGAGCAGGAGCAGCAGGTACGATGGAGATGGAGATTGGGGATTTATGGTCTAGGGTTGATGGTCCCTGACATTTAATGGGGCATGCTGGCCAATTATATTTGAGCACAAAGCATTGAGGTCACCACTTACGCCTCGACAGCCAAACAAGTCGTTGCTTTGGGCGGATTGGGGCGTGTGTGGTTGCGTGTGAATGATATGAGGGGCCAGATGAGTTTGTTTTGAATAGAATTTGACGCAATATTTGCCGACTGCCGACTGCCGACGGCCGCTTGAAATGAAAACCAATACTTCACAATCGAAATGGGGCAGATGTTAGGTTTCGATGAATGGCAGAGGAGTGTCAGAGACCAAGTCAGAGAGAGCCATATACTCGTAGATAAAACTCAATCTGCCCTGAATACACAAAGCTCTGGGATCACCGAAGGCAGCAATCAATATTCATAAAGATTCGGGCAAGCGCTCCCTCCTCCACCTCCACTGGGTTAGAAGGGCGAAACTTTCGATTGTCTGCTGGGGATATGCATGGAAGTTCGGAGCAACTTTGCTCGGGCTTATTTCATTAGGGAACTTATCCACAGATTTGAGGCAAAATTCTTTTTTCCACCTCAGTCCGTCCGTCCGCCCCCTCACTTTGGTAAGTATTTACAGTGTTGGAGGGTTTTTGTCAGCTGCATTATGATAAAAATTTTACAAACTTTTCCTTAAGCTTTTTACACGAGCTTACCGCAAGATGTTGGCTGGATAACTGGGGAGAGGCTGGGATTGGGGTCTGTGGGACACGGGACAAGTGAAGGGGCGCCCTCAGAAGCCGAGAGGCTAAAAGGTAGGGCAATGGGCATGGGAGGCCTGAGCCGGTTGGGGGTTGGGGATGGCTTAGCTGAAAACTTGAAAGCACGAATCCCTTTTGGCCTCAAACTATTATTACATGCTCATATAGATTATTCACATTCTTTCACTTTGCAGTCTCTGCCGCAACAAAAGCAACAAAAGATGGAGGCTAAAGCTGGCTTAAGTTCGCAGGAGGAAAGGTCTCTGAAAGGTTCAGGTATGTGGCTTATATAATTGCTGAGAATTGCCAAGAAGTTGTCAACGTTGACAACATTAACTGAGTCACATATAACAGACACACATGCATACTTACAATGCGGGGCAGAATTTTAGGACCGTTGAAGTATGGATTCATCGACTAAATCCCTCTTCATTCTAGTCCCATCCGTACACGTGAAAGTTTAGTGAATGAATCAAGGCCGTCTTTCTTTTAAATCTATCAACTATCGTTTGCAGTGACTGCTTTGGGGATTATCCTTTCGAACTGTCCTTGCAGAACGCTCTGGCACGGTGCTTAGTATATCCTGGGACAGTTTTCAGTCATATCGAATCCCGTGCAGAGTACAAAGGAACGTCAGAAAGAGCACAAAGTAAGCCGAGGAGAAGTCACCACCGTTATGTTGCTGCCCCCCCCCGTTCCTGTCCTGTACTGTCGCCTTTCTATGTGCTTTGAGGGCATTTAGAATATTCCACTCCCTCTCCCCCGTCAGTCTCGCTTTCCCTCCTGGCTGCTCCATTTGTGTGGTGGGCTGTGGGTTGGGGTGTGCTGGGGACTTATTTTTTCTATTCCACCTTTTCGACTTTCGACTTGTTTACGCAAAAGTTAAGGAAGGACATAAAAGCGAGCGGGCATCCTGGCTGGCATCCCGGCATCCATCGTAAAAACTGTCGTCACACTGGCTGATACCGATAGCGAAAAGCACACACACTCGTACACCAAGTGGTTTAGGGGGAGAGACTTGAGGTGGGGATAAATTTAATCATAAACACACAGAAGTCGATTACGTCATGTGCGAAAACAACAAAACAAAACTATGTATTGTGTAGTGGGTATGTGTCCTTTTTTGCCTTTCATTTGAACTTAAAATTCAATTCAACTCAACACAAACTCGAATCAGCTTAAATTTAAAGGGAATCAAAATAAAAAGGGCATGCGTGTTGCCAACACAGATATGTAGTGGTATCCATCAAAGGAACAGCAACAGCAACAGCAAGAGCACACCCTCTCGCCCTTAAATCTAATCCACGCAATACTGGAAATTTAAACAGAGAGAAAAAGAAGAGAAATAACATTGGATTACAGATTGTCGGCAGGGCGAGAGATGGCACAGAGAACAGCGGAAGAGTGGCGAACGGAGCGGGGAAATGTGCATAAAAAAGGGGATACAATAAACGAGACGAGGAAGATGGAGCGCCCCATTTGACATTTAAGCTTCTGGGCAGAGGACGAAGATGAGGATTGGATTCTTTTCTTGTTTCTTCAGCTTTTTTTTATGATTATTTTTACTTTTGTTTCGGCTAACGAGACGCATTCCGGGGTAATCCGGCCCTGGGGAAATGTTAAACCAAAGAGAGTGAGAAGACATCATCGTTGTCCCTGTCGAAAATCGCTTAAATGGACTATCAATGGTTTTGGCCCCCAGGCCCCATAAGGCGACTGTCCTGTAATGTCCTGTCCAGCATTGTCCTGTCCGAAAGCCGAGAAATTGCCAAAGACATTAACACGGACAAAATGTTGATTAAACTGGCATGCCCTCTGGGGCATATCGATGGGAAACTTTGAAATTGAATAATTTGTCGGTTGTATTCGAATATTCGATGGATGCTCGGCACAATCTACCGGCAAATTCCCCTCGTGACCTTTGCCGGACAGGTGCAGACTGGAAGTTCAAGTCGTAAAAGGATTGTAAATCATTGCCGAAGACAACGTCATCGCTCTGAAGAGGGTTCCAGCTCCGATGGGGTGTCGGCACAAGTGCCTGCCCCCAAGGCAGAGCGACAAAGCAACAGTCAGAGGGCGAACGGCGCAGACAGTCAGAGACGGACAGAGCCTTTCCGCTGTTCCGGATGAGCAAATGACCTGGAAAAGCCAAACGAAGGCAGCACACAAAAGGAATGTGGAAAATATGGCAAACAGAAGCGGACATACCCAACAGAAAGCAAGAACACACTGCGGAAAAAACCTTGACAGCCAGCATTAGGTTTCAATATTCCACTTGTTATACTTCATTTTATGTACTCGTAACATATAAGAGGGAAAAACAATTCCTTTGAACTAATGAAAGGATTTGGTTACCCGCATTTCCATTCCATTCATTACTGGCTATTTCCATGGCTGCCTTGCAATTAAAATAACATCAGAAATGGCAGAGCACTCGCAGGTGTTGCTTTTTTTTGTTCGCAGTGCAGCCAGCTACAACAAGAGGTGGCAACAAAAACTGGCAGCGGAAACAATTGCAATGACAGAGCAAATGTTTAGCATCTGCCTCGGGCTTGGAGTGTGGCGGTAGCGAGGGGGCAGGGAGTACTAGGAAGTACTAGTAGCAGTTGCTAAGGTCTGTTGTGGCTGTGGCAAGTTGATATTTAAATCTGATTTACACCATCAGGTGCTTGTCGGTATGGCTGCGCACACCCCTCAGCGTTTGAATCGTTGCCAGGAGCGGCGCCAGTCTCCACGTTCCAGTATCCCCGTGCTGCAATCTGATAAGTGCAGAGCTAGAGGCGGGGTGCGGCAGGAGGTGGAGGCCCTCAGGTCCAGGTGGACCTGAAATGCATACCTAATTACGTTAATGGGCGTCCGGGCCATAAATTAGTGGAGATTAGGCTGTGCCAGCCAAAATCGCAGGCTGCCTACTTGCTGGTGTTTGTGCCATGGGATCCCGAACCAGCAATGGAAAATGGAAAATTGTGAATGGAGAATGGAGAACAGGGAGAAAGGAAATTGGAAAAGTGTAAAGGCATCGGAAAGTGTGCTCGATGCGGGCGGCTAAAATAATTATGGCCATGGCCGTAAGCGAAATGTAATTATTATTATTGTTATTGGTTTTGCCGTTTCTCCTGGCAGGAGGTAAAGCAACGGTTAAGGACACCACAGGACAGGTAAATCAATACATTTCCATACTCAATGGCTAAGAGAACAATTTAAAACGCTTTTGCGGCTGGCCAGCTGCAGTCATTATGCAATTATCCCCCATCCAGCCCATCCATTCCCATCCACATCAGGCCCACACACGGCATCGATCCCAGCCGAATCGCGATAATTACGAAAATATCGTTTGATTAAAGCACACATAAGCCTACGTGCATGTACCCGGTAGTACATGCAATCGAAATGAAGTGAGAACTTATTGGAACTGGCTTTAATTGATGGTGAAATGCATTTAATTGCGTATGCACAGAGGGGGAGCACACAGAGAAAGTTTTCTCGACTTTTCACGCTGTTCCAGTACCAGTGCCATATATATAATAAATTGCCAAATGAAATGGAAATTAATCTAATTTCCGGCCAAACAGGGCACCAGAAACAGAACACGGAAAACCTTTCATGAAGGATAACTCGGTGGAATGTAATTAATCAAGCGGAAGGAACGCAAGCAATGATCCCCAGGGGGAAGAGCTGGAGTGGGCAATGGTAGTTATGTGGTTCCCATAAATATTTTGATACTCCTCGCTGCCTCTGCTGCTGCCAAGCAATCAACACAGAAATGCACTTGCCACTGCCACTGCCACTGCAGCTGCCCCCACCTGGCCCTGGCTGTTGGTGCCCCATCAAAGTGCACTCTGCTGACAACTGCCAGCTACTTATGCATGTTCCTGCCACTGACAAGGCAGCAACGACGACAGCAGGGGTTGAGGCTGTAAGGGTTCGGAATCGGAGAGGATGGGGCAGGAGACATGCAAATGTTGCATTTCATGCAAAAGGCAACGACAAAAGGTGTTAAGAAAGCCATTTCGCCTGCTAATGAGTGACGATGTCTCTGTCTGAACGTGTCCCCGTGTATCTGTGTATCTGTGTATCTCTCACACTCTCGCCCTGTTTTTGTGGGTGTGTCTTCGTGAGTCCTTGCCGCCTGCCAAGACTTGCGCCTGAGCTGAAGAGCAAACAAAAATGT